CTTCCTGCTTTCCCTTTCGCCTCCCTGCATTGTGCCTATATATGCAAATTAACCTCCATCTTTGTTGTCAGTTAACTGCCATCTGAGTTGGCAGTTAATGTGAATATAGCCCTGATTAGCCAATTAAAAGGGTAGCGTCGTACGCCAATTACCATTTTTCTCTTTTATTAGTGTAGATAATGCTCTGCCAAGAAAAGTATTGAGGCAAGAAGGTAGGACATGAATTGACCAGGCTTTTAATTAACAAAGGATTACCTCCATAATTTTGGATGTCTGAATGCTCAACAGGTATTTCCATTTTCTCTACCTACTTAGTTATGAATATGACTTGGGCAAACCAGAGAGATAAAACATTTCTGGGCCAACTCATTATATTTCAGCACTCATGCAAAAACTGTCTGCATCAAAAGCAGAACCAATATGGGAGGGACAGAACAGTAAGTTTAGTTATCCATTATCTCCAATAATCTTACACTTTTAAAGACTCAAATTTTTTAGAGCAGTTTTAGTTCACAGCAAAATTGAAAAGAAGGAAGAGTAATTTTTCCTATATTTCCTGTCCACCCACACAAACATGCATAGCCTCCCTGCCCCACTATCACCACCCCCCACCAGAGTGGTATGTATGTTATAATTAATGAACCTACATTGATACATCATCATTGCATAGTGTCCATCTTACATAATAAAAGCCTAATATGGTAAGTGTCCTATCGACTGGTCAGCCATTCAACCAATCAAAGCGTAATATGTTAATGATATGCTAAGGCCACTTAACTGTTCATTATGACGTGCACTGACCACCAGGGGACAGTCAACTGGTCGACCAGTCGCTATGATGTGCACTGACCACCAAGGGGCAGAAACTCCGATCAGTAGGGTACCTTGCTGCTGGGGTCTGGCCAACCAGGACTGAGTGAGACAGGCCAGACATGCCCTGGATCCCTCCCACAGTCCCTCCTCGGCTGGCCAACCTCCTGCATCCCTCCCTGGCCCTGATCTTGCACTGGTGGGGTCTCTCAGCCTGGCGTGCACCCTCTTGCAATCCAGGACCTCTTGGGGAATGTCAGAGAGCTGGTTTTGGCCCAATCACACAGGCCAGACCGAGGGACTCCACTGGTACACATATTCATGCACCGGGCCTCTAGCCTATATAATAAAAGCTTAAGTGGCCGTTACGGGCGGAACATCAGAATGACGGGTCTCTATGATGCACACTGATGACCAGGGGGCAGATGCTCAACATAGGAGCTTCCCCCTGGTGGTCAGTGCACTCTTATAGGGGGAGTGCCACTCAGCCAGAAGCCGGGCTCACAGATGGTGAGCACAGATGCCACAGGGTCCGGAGCCTCCCCTGACTGTGGCAGCAGGGGCAGTGGCCTGGATAAGCGCAAGCGGCTTCCAGCCCTGATTCAGGTTCCTTCCTCACCACCTGCCACTTGGCACACTGCTCCATCCCCTGAGGGGCCTCTAGTAGTTCATACTCGAATTCATTCTTGATGTTTGTGGATTCTATGGGTTTGGACAAATATTCAATGATATGTAGCCACCATTATAGCATCATACAGAGTAGTTTCACTGTCCTAGAACCTTCTGTGCTCTGCCTAATCATTGCTTACCCTCCAACCTCTAGAAAGAACTAATATTTTTACCATCTCTCTAGTTTTGTCTTTCCCAGAATGTTATATAGTTGGAATCATACAGTATGCAGCCTTTTCAGATTGGCTTCTTTCACATTGCTGGATATACCACAATTTATCCATTCACCTACTAAGGGACATCTTGGTTGCTTTGGCAATTATGAATCAAGCTGCTATAAACATCGGTGTGCAGGTTTTTGTGTGGTCATAAGTTTTCAACTCTTTTGGGTACATATCAAGGAACTCAATGGCTTGATTAAAGTTATATAAGAAAGTAGAGCTGTAGGGTAATTACAAACAACAACTTCTTTTATAAACATGAATAGGATGACAGTGAAGCAAGTTGAAATCATGGGATTTTTGCCATGGACATTCTTGAGTTGAGAAAAATTTTAAGTTATTTTTCAATTGCTTCTTACTAATCTCTGCTAACCAACTCTCTGTCTCAGAATAGGTATTAGAGCACAAGAACCCAGCAATCTTAGTATTGGAAAGCAGCAAACTGTATTAGAACCAGGTACCATAGTCACTCAGAAGTGATAGTATACAAAATAAAAAATAATTATCAAAACCCTAAGAGAACCTAAATCGCTTAAAAGTGGAATACTATATATGAAGAAGAAAAGAAAATGTCTGCTCACTCAAAGAAAAATGAACTCCATTATCTTAATTATATAAAATTGGGAGTTTAAGGGCTCATAATTTAAATGTTAGCTTTTATGCCTAAAATATACAGAGATTGTCTGAATTAAGTGTTTACAAGTAACCAGAAACATTTTTTTGTTAGACTCAAAATTACCTAGAAGAACAACATATATTGAGTATATGCGTTATGAGGGGAAATAGTTCAATTTTTAAACAATGGGTTCTATGTTCTTTTAAACTAATGATTTGAATTACACTTGTTCCCCACAAAAACTCTGTCAACTTATATAATTGCATTTTTGTTTCTTTCTACATGATGATGCCACCCTGAAAAGTTGATCTGGAAGTAAAAAGAGAAAATTATTTTTCTATTGTTTTTTTCTCTGAGTGGCCAAGCACAAGAGCTTGAGTAATTCTGCCAATACCTGACTTGGGACATTGATAACTCAATGCCATTGCCTTTTTGAACATCTACATCTATCTGAGTGAGGCAGAGGCAGACTAATGTGGTAAAAAAGGTTGTGGTCATGGTGTCTGAGAACATGAAACCAGAGGACAATAGGCACCTACTGCATGCTTCTGAAAAATTTCTGTAATCCCTTGTGCCCAGGAGCTTCATTTTTAGAGTGGTTAATAATAAATGCCCTATCCCATCAGAGAGATGTACAGGGAAGGAATTATTGTGTTTATAGAAAAGTGCCTTAGAAATGTAACTTCAGGGAGTTGTTCAGAATATTGCTCATAAGTATTGTTTCCGATCAGATAGCTCCCAAACTGTTTTCTGGAATACCGCTTTGGATGTTCTGACCTTGACATCTTAGTTCTCCTCTTCTTCATATTTCCTGTGTTGGGGGCACCTTCCCTATTCATGAGCAAAATCTTTCAGATCTAGTTTTTAAAAATTTTTATCTTTACTGATCCCCTCTTCCCTGCACCTGCCCCTCCCAGGCCTTTGCCACACTATTGTCTCTGTCCATGGGCAATGCATATGTGCATATAAATTCCCAGATTAATCTCTCCCCACCCTGCCTTCCCTCTGAGGTACTTTTGAATTATGTCTTAAGGCTGCCCTGTTTTGACCACCTCCAGGGCTAACATCTTAGTCTTGGCCTCATCATCTTTACAGAACTAACCTAACTATTCTGCTTACTGCCTTGTGTCTGTACTCAACAGCCTATTCTCCACCACACAACATACACTGTAATCCTTTAAAAATAAATACTGTATCTTGTCACTTTTCAGTTCAAAACACTCCTGATGATTTCTTCTCATGCAGAGAATTTTATCCTAAATCCTCACCATGTCCTACAACACCCCACAGGACAGGATGGCAAATATTGGTTTTTCTGTTTTGTTTTTTCTACAGCTCATGAGCTAAGAATGGTTTTCAAATTTTTAAATGGTTGTCACATGAACATTATATACAATTTAAATTTCTGTGTCAATAACTAAACTTTTATTGAAACACAGCCATGTTTATTCATTTACATATTGCCCATGTTTGCTTTCATTCAACTACAGTGCAGAGTTGAGTTGTTGCTACATAGACAGTATGGCCTGCAAAGCCTAAAATGTTTACTATACAGTTTTTTTAAAGAAAAAGTTAGCAAATCTCTACCCACAGGGTCTGACCCCTGTCCTTTCCTACCACTGTTCTCATTGCTATTCTGCTCCAGTCATGCTGATAGCTTACTCTTTTATGCGTGCTCTTGCCACACTGCTATTTTATATGCTGTTTCCTTTGGCTCTGAGATATCCTCTGACTTCCTGTCTCTCATCACTCTGGAATATGTTACCTTTCCCTAAGAGATCTTCCTTGACAATCTTACAGAAAATAGCATGGTGATAAAATTAAAAATACACACAATAATTTTTAAAGATATAATTCCTAGTTTGTTTGAATTCAAACTCTTTCCATTTTCGATGTTAAATATTTTAGTTGTTAAAAATCAGTGTAACATATCAGATATTTGATGTTCAATGACTCAGATGGAGTTTAGAGGACAAATTGAGAGTGAAAAATGACATGCTTCTCCTTTTTAAAGCTCTTACAAGGGCTTAGTATGTGGCTCTGGACAAAGAGTTTAGCATAAGGAGCCTCACTCAGTCTTATCTTCAATGACTTAATGAGCATTCCCCTTGAGTTGCATAATAAATATGATAAGTAAATATAAGCATATAACCATTGCATTAAAATAATGCCTCAAGAGCAGCAAGAACAACCAAACATCTATGCAATGCATTATGGCATATATCATCCTCACCGGGATTTCATTCTTAAGACTTTTCCTTGGAAAAGTGTCTCTGTTTACTAAAATCTGCAAAATGCATACCTAGCAATAGCACCTTTATTATTTTCCTAGGGTTGAGAGTTGTTGTAAAAAAAGTACCATAAACTGGGTGGCTTAAACCAACAGAAATGTATTGTCTCACAGTGCTGGAGGCTAGGCTAGAAGTTCAAAATCATGGTGTTAGCAAGGCTTGCTCCTCCTGAAACCTACAAAGGAACGAATCCTTTTTTGCCTCCTTCTAACTGCTGGTGGTTTGCCAGCCATCCCCGATGTTCCTTGATTTGCAGCTACATAGCTCTAATCTCTGTCTTCACATCACTATATTTATAAGGACACTGGTTATACCAGATTAAGAGCCCATCTTACACTAGGATGACTTCATTTTAACTTTACCAATTCCATCTGCAATGACTCTATTTCCAATGAGGTCATAAGGTGAGGTACTGGGAATTAAGACTTCAATTTATCTTATTTGGGGGGGCGGGCAGGGAGGGAAACACAATACAACCCGCAGCAGCACCCAAAAGTACAATGGCAAAGATCTCACAATGCTGTTAATTCGCAGAACTTTTTATGAAATTTAAGGCTTCCAATTCTTAAAATGAGTGATATGTGAGCATATTAACTATTTAATAACAGAGTATAATGACAAGGGGGCATGTTTAAAATTGACATACTTGAAAAAGTTTAAAAAATCCCTCTTTGTATAGTTTATTCCCTACATTTTTAAAGAACCCTTGTGACAAATCAAACAGAGAATTCACAAATATGCCTACAAAAGGCACTTATAGTCATGTCAATTTTTAAAAAATTCTTACCCAAGAATATGTTGTTGTTTTTAATTGATTTTAGAGAAAGAGGAAGGATGAGGGAGAGTGAGAGAGAGAAACATTTATTGGGTGCCTCCTGTACACACCCTGACCTGGGATCAAGCCCAAAACCTAAGTATGTGCTCTGACTGGGAATCCAACCTTTCGGTGTATGGGACCAAACTCCAACCAACTGAGCCACATTGGCCATAGCTATGTGTTTAAAGATACTGGGATGTATCCAATTATAGACAAAAGCTTGAGAGAATTTATTCTTGAAAAAAACACATACACACACATAATTATAGAGCATACATATTGTTTATTTCCCAATCCCTGACTAGAGCAGAGGAAAATGGTGGTTGAAATATGCAGACTGGTCAGCAAATTTTTTGAAATCAGGGCTGGAAAAGCACTTGGAATGAAAAAAAAAGTCTTTAGAGCAAAATAACTGTAGAGGAATGAAACCAAAAAGTCCATAGTGTCTGGTGACAGAAGATAAACTGTGCATGGTGAGGGCAAATTCTGTGGGGCCTGGTAACAAAGCAGGAAGAGGTCAGAAAAGAATCAACTTTTGAAAGATAAAAGAAGCATGGGTCAAGATATATAATTGTGCTGCTTTTTAAGCTGAATACATTTTCCAGTTGCATGAAACACAGCATTAGAAAGCTGAAGCCTCAGGGATTTGGAGTGTCAAAAGTGAAATCCTAAGGATATGCCACAGAAGCTTTATTTAGAAGAAATTCTTAGAAGAAACTATAGAAAGGGTGAACCCTAAATCCTATATAATAAAAGCCTAATATGCTAAGTGTTTGACCCTTTGACCAGTTGCTATGATGTTCACTGACCACCAGGAGGCAGACACTCTGACCAGTAGGTTAGCTTTCTGCTGGGGTCCAGTTGGGGTTCAGATAAATAAAGTACCAGAAAAATTATATTACAAATAATGAAAAGTAAGATGTTTAAGTTATATAAACGTATGCCTTTCTCTAAATCATTTTAAAAGAAAAATGATTGTTTAAAGCAAAAAAACACATACAACTTATTAATGAGTTCATACTGTATGTAAATGGAAATGCAGTGTATGACAATAGCTAAAAAGTTAAATATAGTGTTGAAAAATCAACAATATTATGTTGAAAGTGAATATTATAATTCCTAAGCAATCATAGGGTAAAATTCAGAGAGATATAACTAGTAAGACAATAAATACATTAAAATAAAAATTTGAAAACATCTGATTAACACAAAAGAAAGGAGAAGTTAATAAAAATAAAATACTTC